GAAACCAAACAAAGAAGTACGTTACTTCCCAACATAAATATTTTATGGTTTATTTACAACCTGCAAATGTGTCCTACTAAATCACCAATAAAAACTCTTTGTGTTGTGACAATTAACCTCGAAGATCGAGGCAACACAATATCAGTTCCGGAGTGCAACATGCAATTGCAGTGAGGTGATATAAGCAACATACAATATCGGTAATAAATATCGATGTTTCATATAAATAAATGACATCGCAGTCACAGTCTGAGAGTTCCACCGGAGGCTAGTACCAGGAATGACAGCACATCAAAAGGTGTTCAAATGTGTGCAAATATTAAATCTACAAACAAACTCATACTTTAGAGTACGTATTTATGTACATGTGTAACTTTTAAGTTTCGGTGACTCAATATTTCGCATGTAAATTGCTTGTTTGTGGATTTAATTCATATGTTATGGGTTTTCCTCAAGGCATGAGCTCAAAAAGTTTAAATATTACTCGAATAAACTTTTGTCCTGTAACAGCTGAAGCCACGGATGGAATCGATCTCACGGCTACTTCCTACAATTATCTGTTGATGAACCAATTTATTCTGTAGTCAGAGTTATTTGAAGAAGAATACACACAAAGGGACGTTTTACAGACTGACTGCTCAGAATATGATGTTTAGAACTGAGCAAAAAATTTCAGTTGTCCTGACTGAAAATAGCAAAGCGTTGATACACGCCATTAAGGCGCTTAAGGGGAGAGGCGGTATAGCTCCTACTAATTCTTAACCTTGGCACTAGATGGAGCGTGAGTGGTCATTGGACAGGAGGCTGGGTGGGCCCCAGAGCCGGTCAGGGCGTAGAGAAAAAAAATCCTCTGCCCTGTGAGGGATCGAACCCCGGTCGTCCAGTACCATAGTCAGTCATTATACCCCACCTCATATGGTTTCTATGTTATACATTTCTGTCTTCTGTACACATTATTTACAAACAAACCATTCTTCATCCAATTCATACAAATGAAAAACTTTTTTTTTTGGCTACAGAATGGTCCAGTCACTGCTATTTGTGATTCATTCAACAGCCAAGAGGCAGCTGGTATTACGCTCATGGTGCTGATACAGAAAAACTGTCAGTTTTTTTTTCGCATATTAAAATGGTATCTCAATTTCGTGTACAATTCCTGAAGGATGCAGAAATATTTTCACAGCGGAAAAATTCTGATGAAAACCCAAAACAAAAATAAAATTGCATACGAAAAGGACATAAAACACGAATGATTATTTTGCATGGTATTTAGCTTCATGGCAGAAAACTAAATATTCATGAATTACAAACTTCTTCTGTAATAAATTTGTGACAATCGGTCCAAAACTACGATTTTAGAAGAAAAAAAAATCCAATAAAATGTATAACTGCTTTCATAAGCTAGATTTTTAATTCCAATTACTCCAGATCCGAACAAAACAATTTTATCTGGTGATTCTGAAACAGGATCACCTGAATTTGGATAAACAAGTTCCTGGCGAGAGCGGTCACAGAGTCTGCAATTTATTTTAAACCGTTCTTCATCAATGTTAGCACAGCTTAAGATAACTTAAAAGCTTTGAAATCGGATAGCACAGGATTACCAACAGAACTATTACAAATGTATGAAGGTTTTCATCAAAAGCGGGGTGTATATATGTTAACCGTGTTAGCTGGGTTAACACGGTTAACATAAATGAGGAATAAAAATTAACATGACTGTCTTCTGGGAGGTTACGTCTCGTAATCTGTTGGGTGAAAAGTGTACTGATTTTTCAGAGATACCTCCCACGTCAATTATCACCCTGACGATGGAGGCAGAAAGGATATCTAAAAAAAACCAATACACTTTTCACCCAAAAAGATTACGAGACGTAACCTCCCAGAACACAGCCATCTTCGTATTCGCTGCCGAACCTGAAATTTCACACAAAAAAGTCTTAATAACAGTGGTCCATTGGTATTCCATGTCCGGAATGCGAGAGAACTCATCTGATAACGCAGCGCGCAGTTGTCTCATATGACGTACGTACTTACTTGCCGACATTTTCGTAACAACCCCCCACCCCCACCACCGCCACTCACCACTGGTTATCGTAACCAAAATGGATGAGGCCAGTAATGGTTACCGAAGGTTGAAAATCCAAACAAAATTTCCAAATTTCCCTGAGCGGATGAGAGAACTGAAAATGTATGGCTTTTAAAATGTGTAATTCTCTGGGATTAAAGATACCATGCAAGCGTGTTTCACGTAATTTCTAGACAAAATTACACCTAAACTAAGAAAACACAGAGGTCTAATTACATATGTAAAATAATAATAATAATAATAATAATAATAAAAAACACTAACTTACCTACAGTGTGAAAATTCCATTTCTGTGCTGAATGATTAATACACAATTAATTAACATCATAATAATTAATTATTACAAATAATTATCTGTAAGTAGTCGCTCATTATTTTAAAATACTGCCAATGCTTTTGTAGATACGCCATTTCGAACAGAAGAACGTTTTATTTTTTGAGGGGGGTGGCGAAAAGTTGATCGCTCACTTTCTCACTAGAATCCTGAGGCCTCGTCAACATCAAACCTTGACAAAAGTAGCGGATGTTTCAGCAATCATAGTAATATTAAGTAAATTAAACCAATGTCAGCCCTTACGAGGGCAAGGCAACACTGCAGCCAGCAATATAACAATACATCTCACTCTGTGGTCCCCAAACTTTAACCTGAAAAATAAAAATATCTAAACCATTTCAAATTATTAACTTGGTAATCATTCCAGTGTCCCTTTCACGTATCTATTCGTCTCCTTTCTAACATCCGTCTACAGCTCAACACGTGACATAATAATTTATACTGTAAAATGAAATACAAGTACGAATACATCCCTAAAGAAATACATAAAACAAGACTTTACAGAATAAATACTACGAAAAGTAATATCTGCATATTTCTTTAAAAATTTTATTTATGAATTTGTATTTATTATTGTTTATTCAGCGAGCCTCTGTTACATTTCTCAAACCCACAGTTTGGGAACCACTATTCTCTCTCACATCATTCGTCTCCTGCTCTTAAACTAAGTCTAATTATATGTTTTATGATTGTATATTTTATATTTATATATATATAACATGTGCTATGTTCTAGTGTAACGGAAGGCAGAACATCTGATGTAGGATGCCTCGTCCGCTGCCAGCGCCATCGGCCCTCATCTCATGATCTGACATCACAAGAGCGTCATCGAGATGGCGGGCCAAGTCGTGACGTCACACACAGTCTTCAAGAGACATGAGCAGTGGATTCACGTATTCGAAGCCTTCAAACTCGGTCTGGTCTATCTTCTCAATCACCCGCCTGTGAACAAGCAAAAGGATTCACACTTTGTGATCGATCGATCGATAGATCGATTGATTCATAGGTAATGTAGTATCGAAGGTGTATCAACTATTGAGATTTTAACAGGGTCAGATGATTTATTATTATATTATTTAGTGTTCTGTCTGACGACAGGTCCATATGAACAGGATCCTTCCATCCTTTTCTCGGACTGGGACCTGTTCATATACGTTCTTGGCAGATGATCCAGAAGTGGTTTGCCATTGCCTTCTTCTGTGTGTGAATGGAGTAATTGTTGGGATGCCACGGAGGAAAACTCCGTGTTGCCTAGACCACGGCCTTGCCCAACACAAGTTATAAATTCTGGCACCGCCGGGAATCGAACCCGAGGCCCCCCCAGGATTACAAGGCCAGCGTTCTAACCGCTGGACCACCGTGGCATGGTCAGATGATACGAGACGATTATGGAACAGGAAATGATAAAACATACAATGGCCTGAGATGTCTCGGAACACGATTCAATGGCGACATTTTGTAAACAAATGACATACTACGAACGTCCTAAGTACAAAAGGATATTTCTTGTTCAGATGAATAACTTTACTACACAGAATCTGGCTTAGATGGGCTTCACCGTACGGTTGAAACTTTAGGTTCTGTTATCAGATAATGGCGTACCATATGACGCCAATACCATATTTAATGAAAATCCGTTCAGACACCCCTGTAAAAATAGGCACTCCGCCGTGGCACTGTCGACGCTACTAAAAAGGTAAGATTATAGTTTTTTTATACAGAGTGTCCCAAAAAGATGGATACACACATTTTAATCGATAAAACCATTAATACGTAAGCACTGGCACTAAGTTAATTAACTAATCTGGTGTAGGAGTTGAAAATTACCACCGTTAGCTTCGTAGCAGAGCTGACAACGGATAGCAAAGTTGCTGCTGTGCATATATATTTTTGGAACACCCTGTATTATATTTTTTTTTTCTCTCTCTCTCCAGACAACAGCCGGGATAGCCAAAGATTCTGAAATGCATTGTAAGAAGCAGTCGACGTATGTAATCTGTTCTTAATAAAATAAATAAATTAATAAACAAGGGTTCGTGAGGGACGTCCCTGACTAGAATAGGGAAGGCTGTGCCTGTCTGACTGCAGTAAATGTTTCAGCAACTGCAAACCGCGGCTGAACCAACATTTTGACGGCTAATAAAATGGCATCATGAAAGACAGCACATCTCATTCCAAGGCTCGTTCGTACTGTACGTTCACGAACCATAAAATACAAAAGACCGTGTCACCTATGAGCAAAAACAGCCTAAGCGCCCTTAACTGACATGATTTTTCATCACGAAATCTTCAGACTCGGCGTCGAAGTTACTGAAAGTCATTCATTTTTCATTTATTTATATTACCCACGCTCGAATAAGGGTAACCGATAATTTTTCAAAGTTGAGTTCTTGGTACACAAAGTGACAGGAGTTGAGAAATTTAACCATCACGGACGACAAGCTACAGAGAACACGTAAAGAAGACATCGTACCCTGTTTAATGATTTTGTACCTTGAGAAACCACAAATATTCCACATTCTGTCTGGACAGTCTACACAGAAAATGCCTTTCCATTTGAGTCGAATCCTTCGAAACTCTGCAGGATTTAAGCCACTGTACTGCGAACTAACATTGCTGATATTTTAAGTCCTCTTAAGTTGCGAGCGTTCGTCGTAGAAATAAGTACAGCAAAAAAACCCGTCACAACCATTAACTTTTCCTGATAACATAATTCAGAGCCATTCTTTAACTGGCCGACCTTCAATATTGTCACGTGACCGTGTTAAATTGTGAGTTTCGTGCAAGAAGGTCGTATTTACGTGCCACTACTGCTCAGATTTCGTGGATTAATCCCTCTGACCCATCCAGATTCAGAATTAATTCTGGAATAATTAAGTGTCTCTTGTCGTATATATTTTATTTTGTTTCGGAAAAATAAAAACACGAACAATGGTAACATTTTTAGTATGGAACGATGTTTTTAGGAGAGCATTCAGTATGACGTCATGGCTTCAAGGTCGAGTCAATTCTCCGCTCAGACGGACTGTAGTTACGCAGGAGAACACAGAAGAGCAGGGTTATTTAACGATGTATTTTAACTCCGTCGATCTCACTTAACATCGCAGAACCATGAATTATGAACTGAAGTCGACATGAAAGGAATCTATTTTAAGGAATTTTTCCTATAGTGTGTGAGGAAACCCACGGAAATAGGATAGCAGATCTCCGGGTCGAGATTCGAAAGTATGATCTCTCCCATATGAAACAGACGTTTTAATCTGTGGACCGCGACGTAGAAAATGTTTCGAAGCTGTTTGCCAAAAATGTCTTTTTTATTTATTCTGAACAAACCCGTTCCAATTCCATCGCAGTTCATAAACAGTTTTCTACCTCGCTTCTCCATTCACACAGGTTCAATGTCGAAAAATATTTTGTAGTGACACTTCCATGATGTATATATAGCAGGCAAAGGGAAGACGAAGTTCCTTGGACTCCGTGAATGAGGGGCAGACGGACACGGAAGAATTTTTTTTATTCTTTTATGCAAATTTCAAAATATATAATGCAGGCACTAACCTTGCCTGAAAGGGTATAATCAATCACCGAAGACACGTCATATTCATGGCCATCTATCGACTTACCACCAAGATGGACGCTCTCATGACTAATGAATAAATGAACAGGCAAGTGCTGAGAAGCAGAGAGAGAGGGGGGGGGACTGTTCAAGTCAGAAGGTCCTTTCCTGAAATGCGTATCTGTAACACTGCTTCAAGAGCGATAAACAGTTCATTCAGAATAGAGACTTGTGGGCTCTGTGGTCAACCCAGAACCATAACCAGTGGGTACCAAGGGGCCCTTCCCCGACAGTAAAGGGACCAAGACGTGAAGATGACTACCAACCTCCTCCACATATTCCAGAGGTTAGGAAAACAAAACCTTCACCCAACCCATACGTCTTCACGGTATGGTGTCTGGACAAGCATTGGGACCACCACCTGTAACTACATTTTAGGGGAAATTTAAAAATTAGCATCTTCATGTTTCTCAATTTCAGATTTCCCACGTCGCGAACGTCGGGCTGGACCAAAGTTTTTCTTATCTTGGGCCAAAAACAGAGATAAGAAACTCTTTTTTGATATTACTTTGAAAATTAACAGTCACTTTTCGGTATCTTCAACAGCACTTATTCAGGAATGAGAAATTGCCATGCCAAGTACTCAGATCTGAATTGCATTTAAATGTGCAAACATTACTATACATTAGCACGTAAGTTTAAATTTCCTCCCGGAACAGCTTATGGCAGACAGCTGTTTCCTGAAACACATTTTACGGCGTGGTTCAAAGTCAACAGTATGTCTGGCAGTAGAGCAGCAGAGACACAGAACAAAATACTTCAATGAAATATGCAAATGAATTTCTACAGACTATTAAAAAATGAATAATTTCCCAGGCACGGTTATACAAGTCGCCTTGGGCCGGATGTTATAGACCATGGCGCACCGGGCTATCGATGTTCGGTCTTTTAACAGCGCTATTCCAACTGGATATGTCACATAGTATCAAAAGGGCAGGGAAGATGATTACAGATGGTGAACCAGGAGGGATCTGGATGTTGATGGTAATGTGACACAGTTGAAGGTATCCCCGTCAGAGCTGAGAAAATCGATGAAGAATTTTGGTCGGCGAAGATTCGAACCGGGAGCTTACCGAATAAAATACACAGCTAGGCGCCTAATCCCATACGTTATATTCGTCGTTCATGTCTATCCGCTTTAATATAAAATTATTTCCATTACTTCACGACCAACACGGTTAGAACGCTGGCCTTGTAATCCTGGGGTCTCGGGTTCGATTCCCGGCGGTGCCCGAATTTATAACTTGTGTTGGGCAAGGCCGTGGTCTAGGCAACACGGAGTTTTCCTCCGTGGCATCCCAACAATTACTCCATTCACACACAGAAGAAGGCAATGGCAAACCACTTCTGGATCATCTGCCAAGAACGTATATGAACAGGTCCCAGTCCGAGAAAAGGATGGAAGGATCCTGTTCATATGGACCTGTCGTCAGACAGAACACTAAATAATAATAATAACTTCACAAACTCTCGTAGCCATTTTCGGTTGTTATAAAATTAATCTGATCATGCTGCATCACATACACGGGGTAAACGGAGCGGGCTGGGGGAAAGTATTGGCCTCCACACCGCAGAAATTTACTTTTCCAAATACGTTTCTGAAAAGAAAAACTCTTACAGGGCGAAAAAAATATTTCAGAGACGACGAAAAATTCTACACAATTTCTCTTGTAAAACTCCGTAAGACGAGGCCACATGGATTTACATGCACAGATGGGAATGAATATTAAAAAAATAAGGGTAAACACGTCAATGAACACATTTGGCTATCTTCTGGGTTGTTACTCCGTATAATCTGGTAGAACTTAAAGAGATTCCTCAAGAGATTCCTGCCGCCTCCATCATCAGGGCGGTGGTGGACGCACCAATGACCTCTGAAACGTCGGTGAACTTCTACCAGACTATACTGCGCAACAACCCAGAAGACAAGTCATCTTAATATGTGTCGCCGTAAAATCTCACGATAAATCTTCGTATTCCGTAAAGGTAAGGATTTTTTTTTTTTGAAAACAGATTAAACAATCAAGTGCTTAAGTATGACGTACACAGCGTTAGTAAGAGTGCTAGGAATTAGTTAACGTATTTGGCGAGGTGAGCCGAGCAGTTGAAACACCTTCGTTAAATAACCAAAGAACGTGACACTACAAAGTATATTATTAATAACAAATAAATAAAAAAACTGACGATGTTAACTATATCACAAAGAGTGACATCGCTTTTGGAACAGGGGGTTAGCCACTGTAAATCAAACAAATAAAATCTCGAGTAAGGAAAATTCAATAATATCCATAATTGAATTTCAAATTCACAATGGCACGACAAAGGC